AAGTGCAGGGCTTGTCAGCCGGGGGTATGGGTACCCCCGGGGGTACTTGGGAAGGTCCTATGGGGTATGCATGGGCAGGTGGGGATGGAGCGCTGCCACCCACCACTCGGCGCCACCACCTCCCAGGAACAGGGCCCTTGTGGGACGAGGGCATTGGCGCCCGCCTGTAAGTCACACAGACTCCACCCTGCTGGTTGGCTGCTGGGTGGGGGAAGCCACTGCCACCTACCACCCCACACTGCTGCTGCTCCACATCCAGCTGCTGAGGGTACACTTAATAAAAAAAGGTTGAAAACCCCTGCTCTAAGTGTGCTGGAGAACCTAGTTGAGTAGGTGTACTTATTGTATGCCTCATACATGCTGGCAGAATAGGGTCCCTCACAAAATTCAGCTCTTGTTCTTTTAGGTTTAAACTGAGAGGTGAAGATGCTTGGAGTATATGATGGCCTAAGCATTGAAGAATTCACCTAGGAAAAGGGACTCCTGGTCCACATCTCCCGCCTCCCAAAAAAGGTGCCCTAAATCATGACACCTTAGAATAAACTGGAAGAGAGGACATTCTTAAATCTCTTCTGTTAAAAGCTAGGGTACAGGTCACTAAAGAGTGCAAGATTTCATGGGGTCAAAAGTATAGCAAGCAAGAGGAAGCCTGACTTTTCTAAAGGTTAAGACAAAGTAGGGGAGGAATGGGAAAAAAAACAGCCATGTTATGGTTCCTTTGCTTCTAGACCTGTTTTTTTCTTTTAAACAGCCATTATTTCTGTACTTTATCCAGTGATGGAAGCAGAGACTGGGCATGTCTATACATTCATTAATCAGCTTATGCTAATGTGCATTAAATTTAGTACCTCCATTGTGAGGTACTACAAAAAAGAAGCATTGGCCTATTTGAATGCGCATTAGTGAAAGCACACATTTTTCCCTGCTGCTTTAATGTGCACTAAAATAAGCTAATGCACGTTAAAAGTGTAGTGTAGACGCACCCACTGGAACCCAAGTCCCCCTTTCTACCACCTTAGTGTCTTAAACGCTAGGCAGCACCTGTCTGCACTTGTTGCTTAATGATGGTTCATTTTTACCAGGAGCAAGGAGAGTTTCTCTTGGGCTAGTCTATGGCTGAATGGTAAGGGCAGTCTCCTGGGAGGTGGGAGACATGGGTGTGATTTCCTCAGGCTGAAGGGAGGAACATAAACACATGTGTTATGTGTTTATGTTAAACATAAGTGTTCCACTTCCTGGATAAGAACTTGACTACTAGGTTTTTATACAGGACAGTTACCACCTGCTCTTGCTTTTCCAACTCCCTTTTATAAATGAAAACCAGGACTCCAATTCTTTGACTGAACAGTGTTAAGTGCCTACCTCTTAGGAAGAGCACACACCAACTGCTGAAGCTTCCTTAGCCTGATGAAGGGTTTTTGGAACTGAAAGCTTGCTTAATAACTATTCTCCAACCATTTGGGTTGGTCTAATAAAAGATATCAAATTCACCCAAGGAACCTTGTCTACCTCTTAGGAGGCAGGCACTCAAGGTGCTTTGGGTGAATGTGGTATCTTTTATTAGACCAACTAAATAGTTGGAAAATATATTCTTTGCAAGTTTTCAGGTACAAACACCCTTCCTCGGGCTTTTAGGAGTGGATCCAAGGTCCTGGGCCTTAAGAGGATGGAGGTGCCTGCCTGTAGTACTGACCTGGGCACTTGAACTCTGGAGAGGGGCAGAGTTTCAGATTGCTTCTGTGCTCAGCATGTCTCACTGGTCATGCCCACAATGTCTCTCTGCCTAATTCTAGGCATCTCCCTGATCAGTGTGAGCTTTTTTTTTTTTTTTTTTTTTTTTAAGGCATCTGACTCCATGTGTTGCACGTGGAACCTAGCCACATAGAACAGGGTTCTGGATTTCACTTTGGAGGCTAGGTGTTTTAAGCATATGGACAAATATGTACTTGGAGTGGCTTCAAAAGGGGTGAAAGGCAGGGGATCCTGCTCTGGACATGACAGCAGCTCACCTGCTGTAACTGTTCCCCTGTGCATGGACCTTTAAAGATATAAATGTAGCAAAACTGCTCCATCTTGACCCTGGCTAACGCAAAGATAAGTTGGGATTACTTTTTTGGGGAAAAACTCAGGAAAACCACAACAAGCCAGAATCTATTTTGACAGTATGGATTCTTATTTGAAGTCTCTGGGGTTTATCTTGTGTAGAAGTTTGCACACTTAACTGTCAATATTGTACAACACCCTTTAAAAGGCTCACATGGCACCCTCAAATGATCTGATTTGAGAATCTCTGTTCCCAGATTTAGACATTGCAGCACCCAAGTCGTATTTTTGGGGGTTATAAATCTTAAAAATGCTGTGTCACATGTTCTTTCCATTTATCAAGATTGAATAGTCCTCAGTGTTAATGAATGGTGTATGGAGAGTGCAAAGAGTATTTTTTCTCACTGTTTTGTTCAGGTGCAGCATTAGTTGGGAGTTGAAGGGGAAAAATATCTATAGTTCTAAAATGTCACAGCAGGAAAACTTCTCTTGATGTGAAGTACCTTGTTAACAAGAGTATCTGCTGAACTGAGAAGACAAAATTGACCCCAATTGAAAGAATGAGGCTGTAAATCAAAAGTTTTAATCGTAACATCATGGAACCTATATTGAAGAAAGCCTGCAAATAGTTTGTTGTAATGAATTGCATCCAGAGGAAACTATGCTTTTAAAAAAAAAAATCAGAGTAATCTTACTCTACTTTGGGGAGGGGGAGGGAAGCTGTTCAACATTAGTTTTGCTGATACCTGCACATTGTAATGTTAATGTACTTAAAGTATTTAGTCATGTGGAAAAGAAAAAAAAGACATGGAATTGCCATTACTACATCCCCTTAATGACTCTCCCTCCTAACATAGATCTGTTTATTTCCCTAGATAGGAGACTTGCAATGTATTTTGGGAATATAAATAAAAAATGTCTGTTCTCTATTCAGTTTTTGCAAGCCATTTCCCATGGTAATTTTTAAGTGGTGTCCCTGTCTGAGAGCTGTTTCATAGCTTCAGATTTCTAATGCTGTCCCTTTTATACAGCAAGCTGTTTGTGCTTTTTTAAAATAATATAATTTAGTTCTGTTTTACTGCATATATTTATTTATTTATTTATTTATTTATTACTTTAGACGAATAAGAAACTGAGCCTGGAAAACAGTGGCCTTTTGAGAGAGAACTTGCGACTGAAGGCTGAAGTTGATAGTAGATCACCCCAAAAGTATGTAAATATTTTAACTTACGTTGTGTTATTCATAGATTATGTTTAACTATTGTAAGACCTTAATTTAAAATTGTGGTGGTGTGTTTAGGGCTGTAGATGTCTCTTGAAGATGGATTTTGGATTTTTCATCTGCATAGGCTTGGGTGGAAAATACAGTTTACAAATGACTGAAAACTGTTACTTACACTTTCACTCTAGTGATGGCATTACATTACCTGGTCGATACTGAAGGTTTGCCTCTTGACAGGAGAGCTGTTTGCTTAAATTCATATTTTATTTCTGTTTAAATGTTGCTTTGGCTATTTTTTGGTAGATTGGGCAGGACTCTTACAAGCTGACCTTTAGCAACAGTTATTATTCTAGGCTTTTGTACTATGAGCTCTTAATTCAGTGAAAACTCAAAATCACTGAAAGCCTTCTGAAAAAGTTCTATAGGATCAGGCCTCTCAAATGCCAACAATACAATACCGTATTATATGCCAGCTCATAATTATCAGAACTGATTTTTATATTGAATTTGTTATCTTAAACAATTAATGGTTTGAGGACAGTGACCTGGCAGATGGCAAATTGCCCTAGGTGGGGTAAGGGAGGTTGGGGTGCACAAAGCCTGACTGGCAGCTGGAGCATGGATCTGGCTGGCCAGGTTCTGGTTTCAGGCAATGTACGCTGCTGCCACATGTGACGCACTGTGCTGCTCTGCATGTTTTTGTACTTCTTTAAAACCAGGAATTCCCAGTATCTTCTTTTGCCACTGCATTGGTTTGCAAACATGCAGTGTGGCAAACCAATTCACGTGCACTACGTGCATTTTTGCGGTGCCTCAAACCTTCGAGATGCTGCAAAGCACACGTTCCAGCTCATGGACATGGCTATCTGTGTTTGGCTTTTTTGTAGGACATATGGTGTCTTCCTGATGCAGGCTGTTTGGAGTTAGTATATGTTCAAATATACTGATATTATACCTAATAAGTATTGTATACTGAATCCTCAGAAGGCATTAAGGAATATTAAAAAATCAACTTTGGTTTATTCTTTCCTATTTATTCTCCTGTTCCTCATTGATGATGATGATGTTATTGTTTTAAATTGGACTGACACACCATTCATAAGCATCTTAACGATTCTATTAGTAATTTAGTGGCTTTAACTTTTTCTCTGTAGAGAGAAATAGAACTTGGTACCATCTTTATAATGATTAGCTTATGCTTTTGAGACCATTATCAATTAAAAATCCTTTTGTGGGTAATGTTGATGTTCACAGTTGTATTTCTCCCAAGTATAAATCACTGTGCATATCTAAAACATTGTAAAGCACATTGTTCTTTCAGTGGAAAAATTCGGGCTCAAAATTTTTAATTTGTGGTTGGTTTGTTTTTTTTGGTGGGGAGAGGGCAAATAAATCAGAATATCAAATACCTTGGTAGTCAGGGCACACACCTGAAGTGTGAGAAACAAGGAATCAATTCTCAGCTCTGGTTGATTCGGATAAGAGGCTTTTAATCTAGAACTTGCACATCCCAGGTCAATATCACAATTAACAGGTTACTGGTTATTCAGTGGATGGTGGTTCTTTTTTTCCCACCCATCTCGTCTGATCTTTCACCGAAAAAAAAAAAAAAAAAAAAAAAAAGTCTTTTTTTTCATCTTCCTGCCCCCACTCATCCTCCCTAGTTTAGAAGGTTTTTCTTTTCTGAAATATTAGTTTTGCTTAGTGGGGAAAAACATTTCCTATCTACTTAAGAGGGCAAACTGTGAGTTCAATTGGCAAAGCACAGAGGATCTGAAAATGTTCTTGAAAGGAAAATATAACTTCTACATCACTGCCTGTGGATAAAAGGTATACTATCAAGTATCCACCAAGGGTATACTATATTTTTATGAATAGTTAACTTCCAATTAGTTTTAATCAGATCTGTTAGCTTACTAAATATCCTCAGTCCTAAATATTTAATTCTTCTCTATAGCATCCAAAAGATATAATTAAATCCTGATTATGCTCTTCTTCTCACCCCAAGTTTGTCTAATGACTTTATCTTCTATTTTTATATACTGTATTTACTTGAATATAAGATGACCCCCCCCAATAAGTAGAATCTATATATGGACAATGTATGAATGTGTTATAATTTCCAGGTATAGAATCTAAGTATTGGAGGTTTGCCTTGAATTTTTGTCCCCTTCCCACTGCTATAGCAGGAAAAAAAGGGGCTGGGGGAGGAAGGTCAGGTGGCCCCATTTCCCTCTGCTCTCCCAACTTCTTTCCCCCATAACCCCTTTTCCCTAAATCCTTATTGTCAAACCCTGCTGTCCCTGAGCACATAGAAATGAGGACCACATTTTAACAGCACTGACCTTCTAATAGCTCTAGTACTTTGCATATACTACCCATAGTCTTGGTTCATCCAGAATTCATGCGTGCTGCCTTTTTGAAACTGCTGCAAGATTTAGCACAGGTACTCCATAAAAACATTTTAAGCATCACTTTGGCACCTACTTTATATATAATACAAACTATGCATGATATTAGTCCAAAGCCAAAAGGCTTATGATTTAGTATATAGGTCATTGGGCTTGGCACCAACAGAGTCAACAGGATTTCAAGCCATGTCACTTAGCACGGCTCTGTGTGTGTGTGTGTATAATCTGGATAACCACACCTCTTCCCCTCTGCTCCCCCCACAAAGGATCCGTGTGCCAATTAGTCCCACACTCATGACTGGAACTGGGTGTATTTGTCACAAGCCCTGGGATTCTCCAAAAATATGTATGCAGATGAGGCACAGGACAAACTGGTCCAGCTTCTCCTCATTAATCATATATAACTGGCTCTCGGCTGCGGGGGCTGCCTGTCCTTTTTTCAGGCTCTGGGGCCCGGGAGCATGGCTACCTCCCCTTGTGGGGTCTGCTCCCCTTTGGGGTCTCTGGTGCACCAGCTGGAGGAGCTCCAGGCCACAGTTGAGAGACTACGTGCCATCAGGGATGGTGAGCAGGAAACAGACTCCTACTGCCAGGCCTTTCTCCCCTGGGAGATGGAGGATAGACCACGGTCTCCCTCCAGGACAAGGGAGCCCTCGGGGACCTCCCTTACTGTCCAGCCCAGGGGTTGGACCAAGGTGGTCAAGGGCCCTAAGGCCTGCCGCACCAAGGCCTCTGCCCCGCTGGAGCTCAGTAACCGGTACACACGTCTTGTAAACCCAGCAGAGCCTGCTAAGTTGCCAGCTCCCGCAGGCAACACAGGCTCAACTGTAGCTACCGCCCCCACTCTCCCCAAGACAAAACGCAAAGTGTTTGTCATGGGAGACTCCATCCTGAGGGGGACTGAGGGGGCAATCTGCCACCCCAACCCCTTAGCCCGGGAAGTCTGATGTTCCCAGCGGCCCGCATCCGAGACATTGCAGAGAAGATCCCTAAGCTCCTCCAGCCCACAGACCACTACCCCATGCTACTTATTCGTGTGGGCGCCAATGACACGGCTTGGAGCGCTCCCAGCCAGACCATGAGGCGCTACAGGGATTTGGGAGTGGGACTAAAGGGTCTGGGGGCACAGGTGGTGTTTTCTTTGATCCTCCCAGGCTCAGGATATGGGCTGAGGAGGGAGAGGAGGATCCAGGTAGTTAACCAAAGACTGCGGCGCTGGTGTCATCAGGAAGGCTTTGGCTTCCATGACCACAGCCTGCTGTTTGGTGAGAGAGACAGTGAGCTGCTGGGAAGAGATGGCCTCCACCTCTCTCTGCTGGGGAGGAGGCTCTTCGCTCCACCGGGCTTTAAACTAAGCCCGCTGGGAGACGTGACTACTGCCACTGCTGGCCCACTGAGCAACTCTTACAAAGCCAGCAGGCCAAGGCACTTAAGGGAGCCCACCCCTGCCCCAGCCCTGGTACAATCTGTGGGCAAGGCAAGAGCCCTCAAGGGGACACTTGCCTGCCTGTACACAAATGCCAGGAGCTTAACACAAATAATTATGACGTCATAGGGATAACGGAGACCTGGTGGGACTCCACCCATGACTGGACCACAGGTATAGATGGCTATACACTGTACAGGAGAGATCGAGTAGATAAAGGGGGCGGGGGTATAGCTCTCTATGTTAAGGAAAGCTACACGTCCCTGCAACTGATATTGGCGACCAGGGTGGACAACTGGAGACCCTCTGGGTTAAAATCCGTGGGGAACACAGCACAGGGGATGCAACGGTGGGAGTCTACTACAGACCTCCCACCCTAAATCAACAGCTTGACCAGGAGTTCTCCCGGGAACTGGCTGAGGCCGCATGCTCCAGGGCCATAGTTGTCATGGGTGACTTCAGCTACCCAGACATTTCGTGGGAGGATCGCTCAGCAAAATCCAAGTGGTCGCAAAGGTTCCTATCGTGCGTGGATGACCTCTATCTTACTCAAGAAGTCTACAGGCCAACGAGAGGTAAAGTGCTGCTCGACCTGGTACTGGCAACTGGGGATGACCTAATCGGCGACCTAGTGTTCGATGGGAAGCTGGGTGACAGCGACCACGAGCTGATCATCTTCACCATCTGCCGTAAAGCTGGCAAGTCAGTCAGCAACACTGAAATCCTTAACTTCAGGAAAGCTGACTTTGACAATCTCAGGAGGCTTGTCAATGAGGCCCTTAGGGACCACGACCCCAGGGGGAGGGGAGTTCAGGAAGAGTGGTTGCTCCTCAAAGGAGTGATTCTCAGTGCACAAGCTAATTCTATTCCATCTCGGAGGAAAGGCAGCAAGAGGGCACAGCAGCCCCCCTGGCTCTACAGGGATCTAGCAGACCTCCTGAGGCTAAAAAGAAAGGCCTACAAAGGATGGAGGATGGGATTCACCTCCAAGGAGGACTATTCTGCACTGGTCCAGTCCTGCAGGGAACAAACCAGGAAAACCAAGGCTGCAACTGAACTCCAACTAGTTTTGAGTGTCAAGGACAGTAAAGTCCTTTTTCAGATATGTGGGGAGCTGGAGGAAAAGCAAGAGCAACACAGGACCCCTGCT